AGAGATTCTGACTGCAGTGTCCCTAGAGTTACCTAAACCCTGGCTCTCACTGGAGCTTGGGCTACCATGCCAGGAAGCCCCGCCACACTAGGCAAAGCTGCATCTCAGGCCAAAGTGGCAGAGTTTGCCCACAGTGCCACTGGAGCTGCTGGCATGGGAAGTCCTACCACCATGGTCAAAGCTTGGGCTCTGGCTGCCACTGCAGGAAGCTCCAGCCCTGCAGCCAGAGTTAGAGCTTGGGCTCTGGTCATGGTAATTGAGCCTTTGACTCAATTGTGCATCTGGGGCTGCCTGCACCCTAGCAAAAGCCAGGGCATTGGCTACCACTGGATGCGCCATCTCTGTCCACAGTGGTTGAGTTCCTGTCCATAGAGCTGCTAGGGCTCTGGCCATGATGGCAAGTCTTTGCCTGACATGTTGCTTTGCCTGACATGTTGCTGGGGCTGCACCCTGGCTCTACTGGGGTGCAGGCTGCCACCATCAGTGCAGCAAGAGCCAGGACTCTGGCTGCAATGGTGGGGCCACTGCAGTACTGGCCATAGCAGTACAGGGTTGGACACGCACACAAACACAATCTGCAGGGTCTCTCTCTCATGCTCCCTGTGCCTACAGGATCTCTCTATTGCATGCACATATACTGTCCCTGCAGGGTCTCTCTCTCTCTCTCTCTCACACACATATACGCTCCCTCCCCCGCAGGATTTCTTTCACTTGTACAAACACACACGTGCAGACACGCACGCATTCTATGTCCCAGCAGCTTACTGAATTATCATTAATGAAAACACAAGCGCATATATGCACGCAAGCACACACACACACACACACACGCACACACACGTTCATGCGTGCATTCACACATACTGTCTCCTTGCAGGTCAAGGTGTTGACTGCTGCCACAGGCAGCCCCACAACCAGTGCCAGAGCTTCTGGTCACAGGGCTGCTCAGACTGCCAATGTGAGAGCTCTGGCATGAATCAGACTCTCAGAAAATTAGGGCTGGAAGGGACCTTAGGAGGTCATTTAGTACAACACTCTGTTGAAAGCAGGACTATCCCCAAGTATACCATGGCACGGAGGCACCTGAGAAGGAGGGAATAGGCTCTCCAACTGACCTGAGTTTGACACCCTTGCTTTAAAGTGATAAAACACTTCATTAGAAAATTATATTTATAAATTTATTTCCTAAGTCAGACCCAGACCCTCACTGTTCTTTAGGTGCCTAACTTATATTTGAAAGCAGAAGATTTAGGCATATAAGTACCTATCAGAATCTGGGTCCTCAGTCCATAAATTATGCTGTTAAGCTGGGAGTACCTACCCTTTATACATGTATAGCTAAGATATTAAATATAGTTCTTACATTTCCAATATTCTTAGCTGTATAATCTAAGGGAAGTCCTCCCAGATAGAGCTTCCCTTCAACATCCAGTGTGTTGCCATCTCCCAGAGCAATAACTGCTGCTGACTCCTGACCATCAACGATAATTATGCCTTTCCTTTTAACATATTCTGCCTTTATCTGAAAGAAAAGAGAAACTGTATCAAACTGCTGCTTACAATAAGAACAAACAAAATTCATTTTGGAAAAATGACACTTTCTAGAAGGTCGCTCGCTTCAGTGCATTGCTTGTGGGGCTGATATTGAAAAAAAAAAAATCACTGATCCCTTGAACTTACATCATAATGCAACAGCATGACTGTTAAATGGCTTTCATTTACAAGTTGCTTGTACTCAAGCACTTTATGGCCAGCACTGATTGTCTGTTGTCCAGTGTGCATGCACTTCAAAATCGTCTGATTAGTATTTGAAAGGTTAAGTAACAGACAACCAATCTGATGCCTCATTTAGCTGTGTTTATGGCACCAGCTAACAAGGATCATTAATTCTTGAATATTCCACCCCCCAACTAGAGCTCATCTAAGGTATCACTTAGACCAAGGCTCTTCTTTGCTTTTTTTGAGTGCAAAGTTATTTGGTATTCTACTTGTTATATTGCTTTGCAGATTTCTATGGTGGATATGGAAGATAGCATCTTTCTGCTTCCAGAGAACCCCATTCATGGGGTTAGAGCTCTATGCATGTAGAAGCAAGGGGAGGCCTAATGGGATATATTGTAATATTTTACTACCTGTTCAATGAAAATTTGAATTGAGGCTGATGCTGGCAGAGCTAGTGCCTGGTGCAGAGCTCCCCCTATACACTGTGTGAGCTACCTATCGTGCACAGAAAGGGGCCTCCCAGCAGCTAGCTGCAAAGTCTAATTAAGCTCTGCCACCATGTAAACAATGGAAGCACAGTGGCAAGGTAAAGAGGTGCAGGATCTCTGCACTGAAAACATTAGTCTCCACTCAATACTGTCACATGTATATTCATCCTCTACTCCCACAATTTTTTCTACATCCATGTAAGAATGCGTAGGAAACTTCTCCTGGGCAAGCTCAAATTTACAGTCCACTTTGCAGGATTTTCTTATGGAGGGGAGGGTTACCGCTTTTACTTGCTGCAATTTTAGTAAGTTCTTATCCCTAAATAAGGGGAGGTAACTATGTGTGTGACTTACTGTAAAATTAAGAAGAATAAAACTGGGGAAGTACTTATTGTACTTAATTAATTTGTAACAGTGGTAAAAGTCTTATGTCTTATTCCATCTGATGCCAATATGTGTGAAAGGCACTGTGATTTGGCTCAGTAACTGCAGGTGAAACAAGGTTAAGCACAAACCTCTTGATACCTACCATGTGCCATTTTCCATCACTGATGATAACAGGGTGAAAAGTCACTGCTTTTCCTTTTCCAAGATCAAATGAGAAATATAGCTGTCCCCCCAGAAGCTGAAGGGCTGCATAATCAACCTGATTCTGATGAGCCATGTAGTAAATCAGGCCACTAGAAGCATAGGTTCTGAGGTTCAGCTGAACAGAGAGTCTAAACAGTAACAATGAAATATTGTTGAAATCCTTTTTTCTGTATTCATAGGCAGGCATTATAGCTGGAAGAGTCTTACCTAAATCTTACAATAAAAGGGGATGCAGAGCAGTAAAGCAAAGTTACAGTCCATTATGTAGGTTTGAAAAAAAACGGTTCCAAATGCAATCCAAAATATAAAGTAATACAGCATGCACAGTTTCAATCATAAATACAAAGTGATTGTCACAGGCAGAACTGAACCTTTGAGGAGACTGGGGCCAGCTGTACCCTGTTGCAGGCTTGCCCACCTCCCAGGTGAAGGGAATGAGTCCCAGAGCAGCGTAGTAGAAGCTGGTAATTTGTAAGCAGGCCTGTTGGGATATAATGTGCAGCCTGAGGCCAAAGAAAGATTGAAAAAGGAAGGAGAAATGCTTGTTAGTTCCTAGGAAAGTAGAGGGGGGAGAAGTGATGGAGTGGGAAATGGATAAGTTAGTCTGTTGGAGGAAAGCCACAGCAGGGAGTCTCTTTAGCTTCCAGTCAGCTACACTGAGGCCTGAGAGAGATCTGCAGTGAGCAGGAGATTACTGCAGGATATCTATAAAAGACTGGATAAGAGGTTCTCTGAATCAGTCAAAGGTTAGGGTCTGGTTAGAGCTATATGGTTCAGGGGAGAGGGGTGGCAAAAGCAAGAATTCTTAGAAGAGATTTAGAAGTCTGTAAGGGACAGAGAGATTTGCTGAGTCTGAAGAAGGAGGATGGGAGACTTAAGTTTGAATTCAAGTACTGCATTGTAAATCTGAAAGGAGAATGTAGTTACAATGCAGTAACTCTGGTGCTTTATTTGATGGTAACAGAGTGAGGAAATTGAGACAGGGTCAGGGGTCTGATCTAGGTTTGGAGAGGATCCTCATTTAAAACTGTTTTCTCCTAGTAACCAAATATAAGGCAATGTGTGAGGGTGGGGGAGAGGGTGCATGATTCAAAATATACATACTTCCTTCTGACAGTACTCGGATTAAAAATCAGTACTAAGTGGCTGCCTCTGGCAAGTCCAAACTGGTGGGCACCGGGAACATGATCTGGCATTTCATCTTGTGCACACTGTGCCTATTAATGAAAAAGCTTTACTTAAAAAGAGAATATTCCACAAGTGCTATTCAAACACTCTGCTGCCGATTAGCACTACTACCTGGTACTGTAGCCGTGTTGTATTTTTGCTGCATGAAGTTGACGTATGAGATAAGCATGCAATTCAGTTAATCAAATACTATAACTTTCAAACATTTCAAGCCCTTGGTAGGGTCAAAGAAAATTACTTATAATGCTCAAACCATATTTTGTGTTGAGAACACATCTTTTCCTGCTTAGGGGTTATAGCTTTTGATTTATTAATTTACAGGCAGGTTTTTTGGTTTGTTTTTTTTTTTTTATTCAATGCAAAAGAGGACATAATAGAATTTCAGTAGGAAATTCTTTAGTGGTCCTTACTGGAGACATTTTTCTATCATTCAGTGAAGCTGCTCTTTTACCCTGATTTAAGGGATGAATAGCTGTGCAATGGTGTATGAACCATCACTATACTTCAGCTCTCAGAAAGACTGCTTATTTCTTTTTCTTTTTTGTAGCCATGTTGTATAAAAACCATGGTTCCTCTGCCACACACAACAGGAATGATTACAAGATACTTGAAGAAATGCTTCATAAAGATGCATGGGTACATATAGGGAAAGGGGATGCTGCCTCATTTTTCTTTGGAACAGAAAGAGATAAAAAGCTTTTGCAAACTACATGCAGACCTAATGCACATAGGTACAGACTATGGCACTTTTACAGTTGTCTGGATTTTCCTCTCACCACTGAAGGCATGGCAGGGACTGCACATGACCACGGAATTTGGTACAGTGAATTACATAAGTACAGTTTATTTGGTCACCTTTAACCTGCCCTGCTTTGTCAGCATTCATTAATTTTGGCAGTAAAACAAAGAGTAACCATGTCTTAAATTGACCTTGCTGGAAGGCCATTTTTCTTTTCATAAAGAGTTCTTTACATGCAAATAAACTACAGGTAGGTAAGCAATGGTAGGCTTAACTGCATTTCCCTCCACATGGCCTTCATAGCTATAAGGCCCAGTGGCTGTTGTATAGAATTATACCCTAGTGTTCGATTGCTTTAATCCTTGCCATTTTATACAAGGCATTGCTTATTTTACCTAGATTCCTCCATGCTATGACAAGTAGCAAAGCACATGGATCCATACTTTGGAAACAAGTTTAAAAATGTACATTTAGAACACAGCTTCTTTCCACTCAATACCTTTGTTCAACAAGAACAGTACGGACTAAGTCTGTAGTACGTACCTCCTTATTATCTGGAAGAGGCCTTAGAGGAACTGGCAAAGCCTGAAGGTCAGGTTGAATCTCAATATCTTCTGGATGTATTGCTGGTTTAGGCTTCTCTGAAAGCAAGCAGTTACCCATGTCCACATGTTGATACCTCACAGCAGTGGTGAAATCCAAAAGCCTATGTTTTAAAAGGAGATGGCTCTAAGTACATCAAAAGACTATAAGATCTAGTACTAATGTTAGTGAGTAAAAACTTGCAAATTAGTTAAAAATATTTGTAAATATATGCCATTATTCATGTAATGGTTTTGCTAAGCAGTAGGCCCATCCCCATGCATAAACGTGATAACTGAGAACCCAATTTTGTTTTTGTGCGCTATGCTTATATGCATTAAAGATATTTGAGGCAGACTGAATAACTGCAATCATGGACAAAAATAATCATTGAGGAAAGTTCAAAACTGATCTCTTCTGCACATTACAAGGTGCAGACATTGTGAGCACTGACATTGAGCACTGACACTCTGCTTGCCTATGTCTGTGTCCTGAAGGAGTTAAATCCAAAGCAACAATTTATATTTTATATATAGTCTTGCAGTTCCCATCTCCAAAACAGTGCTGCCATTCATTCTGACTTACTCCTTGTTAAAAATCAGATTGCTTATACATCCGTAAAAAGATCCAGTCATCTTCAACCCTAAGATGCCCTCGCCTGCTGGCACCCCACCAACATAGAAGTTGGAAATATTCATAGGACTAATTTCTGCTGATGAGCTGAGTCTCATTTCTGCAGGGTTACTTTCATCCACTTGTACAGTTATCATCCTGAAAGGGAAAAAGTAGAAATTCATTCAACAAAGAACTTCATTCCAACCTTATAAATGTCAAGTGCTAAGAAAGGAAGATTCTGTGATTTGTTTAATCCACCTAAGCCACATAAAAGTGATTCTTCTAAGAAAATTTTTAAAATGAAATACAATAGACGTGTTGATATCTTTACAAATACTTTTGATATCTAATCTTACTGCAGGTGTTTTAAAAGTAAACTAGACTTGCCTGTTCATCAAAATAATAAAATAACCAATTAAATATGTACTTTTTCTATCAGCAAATTAATATCCTTTACTCAGGTAGCCGATACTGTCTGGAGATTAAGAGAGCTTTCATACACAGCTTAAACAGTTGCTGTATGCTGCATGCAATTAACATATAAATCAGAACTTCTCCATTAACAGCGGAAAAACACAATCCTGATTATTCCACCCAAATGAGCTAGCTAAGTCAATTCTTCAGGGAACATGGTGAACTAACAATGACATGCAGTAATTAAACAAGTGGTACTGTACACAGTCTCATGCACCTCTTATTCCGGATCAGGATGACAGAGTGTTCTTGTCCATCACTGTATGTCCCATTAGCAGACTGGAGAATTACTTTTTTGGTACTTGCTCTGTCCCCTGCATTAACATGCACAGTGAGATGACCATCAATCAGTATGATGGAAAAGAAGGGCTGTGGAGATTAAATCATAAGATTATTATTTTCCTGCAATTCTGTTTCCTCTCATTTTATGCTTTATACAGAACATAATCTAGTTAAGTTTGCCTTCCAAAACTAGAAGCCATAAACAAACTCTGACAAAAATGTATCCATGACTTTTTTTTAAATTTCAATGTGAAATTATTTAGGAATAAAATAATGTAACACTTAAGTGTTCCTTGAGTTGTTTGCATCTCAAATATTGTAACACAGTGACAGTGAATGAGGAAAGACAACCAGAGAACTAAGCCTTCTACTAGAAGAAAAATACAAGCTTCGAAGCCTCTCACTCCGTGGTAAAAGATCAGGTTGCTACACAGGCATGTGTATGGTTTCAAACCCCTTGTATGTCAGCCAAGTCAAAGGAAAAAGAAAGAGTGCTGGATTCATTACTAGGATGTTGTCACTGAATTCTACTTGGGAGTGTCATCTTTCATATCAGCCTCCAACTAGTGGATGAGTGAACCCAAAACAATCCCCTTTGGCTGTTGGAAAGAAGAAGGAACATTCTAACTCTGTGTTGTTCCCTCACATTCTGCAGCCGTCAGTGTTTTAAGTTGAATGGTTGCTGCTTCTACCAGCCTCCTCCTAAGTTCAAGTGTAGTACCTGCTCCTACCTGCCTACCACTACTTTACTCCCTACCAAGACGTTACTGTTCAGATCTTCCTCTGAAGTGTCTGCCTCAGTTGTTCTTCACAGCCTTTCTAAGTATGGTATGGTGAAACCAACCCAACTCTTTTCTATTACAGTCAGCCCAGATACCAACCATAAAATGAATAATGCACTGCTCACTGTGTTGCCACTTGGCAAAATCATGGCTGTAGCACAGGTACTGGAATTGACTGTCTATGGATTTGGGACACAACCCTGTAATTGGTTTAGACTTTACACATATTTAAAAGGTTTTCTTTAAAACCATAAGTAGCAGACCATTTTTAACTGAAATGAAGGTTTATATTCAAAGTTAGCTTCATTTGCTTGTGAAAAATTCCTACTCCTTACACTAGAGAAATGCAAAACTCTAGAACTCTTGGTTCAGAGATGATTTCTACTCCTTACACTTTTGTTTAGCTCTGTTCATCCACTTTATACCCTTGAACTGAATAGCTAATTAGACATTTGGAAGCACAGACTGAAATAAAGTATTTGGGGCGTAAAAGTATTGAGATACTTACCAAATGTGCTTGTCTGCGTTGTCGCTTCCCTGCTCCCTTGTTGAGACCAGCAAGGATGATTCCGCTACTGTTCTTAGTAGCAAAAGTTGCCATCAGTTCTGTTTCAGGAGATAGGGGCTTAGGCTCTAATTCAATGTAGCCATCATTCAAGATGCTGACACTACGGATAGGCTATTTTGCAAAAGGAGAGAGATACTCAATAACTTTGTCCCCAGAATGATGTTCAGTGAGGGAGAACAGTATCAGTACTAGACTGACCAACTGAAAATTTATTAAAACATTAAGATAGTTTTACTTTCTATATTGTTATAATGAATCAGGTTCCATACCCAGCTAGATTATTAAAACCCAACAGATATGCTAGAATTTCCTACCTCCAATATGCAGCCTTTTCTTACACCATATGAGTTTCTAATCAAATCAAAGGTAGAGCGGGATATTTCCAAGTTCTTAATACAACCTACATATGTTCTGCTGCTAAGTCCTTTCCTGAAAAAAGAAGAAATTGGTTTAAACATTTAAACTGAGCTTTAGAGAGGAAAATGTTTTTGGAGGGCGGGGGAGGAATGATATTTTTCTTCAGAGAGAAAAAGAATCATTGATCTGAAGAGTCTGATCTGGCTCAATTAAGTTGGAATACTTTTGGCATTGTACTTAATGAGAGCAAACCCAGTAAAAATGTAGCTACAAACATACATTAAATCTTATCTGAACATCAGAATTCATAGAAAAGTAGAGCTGAAAGGGACACCCAGAGGACATCCAGTCCAAAACCCTGCCTGTGACAGGGCCATCCCTATTCAAACCATTATATGCAAATTCATTGTCTAACCTATTTAGCAAAACTACACATTGAACCCTGACACAATCACAAGCCATAACACCCTCACCTGCCACAGGTAAAGCAGGGGGACCACTGTGACCAATGTGGAAGCAGTGTCGGAATGCATGGCAGTATACTGCAATACCAAATGGTATGGGTACCATTACCAAAGCTTTGAGGTAAATCCTTAGCTGCAATGGCAGAGCTCTATGTAACTCATGGGACCTACTGAATTCATGGCAGAAGTGGGCTGTGTGGCCGATCTGTTCCCCCATGTGTCTCCCCTGCTGATTGGTGGAGGGGCTCTCGCTCCTGATCAGCAGGGAGGTAAAAACCGCCGTTTTAAATATGGTGCTATTTTTGCCTCCCAGCTGGTCAGCAGCAAGCAGCAGGGCCACCAGGGCCCCTCAACCAATCAGCAATGGGTGAGGGAACAAGGGAACTTGCAAGATTAAAGGAACTGAGACGCAACTAAGGAACTAAGAGAGACCCATTTTATCATCTGCTACTAGTTAACAAGCAGGGTATCCATGTACGATTGGCCTGCATCTATTTGTATTTCAGGAGTATATAACCGAAGTCAAGCTAGTTAAAAAAATAAATAGGATAAGGCCACCACTCATGTATGTAGCATTTTTTAAAGTATGACATAGGCCATGGGTCAGCAACTTACAGCCCATGGGCCAGAGTCTGCAAAGATCCAACCCAACCTGAGGCAGAACTGGCGGATTAGGCTGAAGATGTAACGGTACAGTGCCACTTGCCTCCTCCATGGCACCTCCCCTATGCAGCTCTCCCTGCTGCTTTTTCATGCCTACCCTAGGATTCCTGCAGAAGGGCTGGGGATCAGTGGCAAGGGCAAACAAATACCTTGGGCATGCCAAGGGCAAAGATTTGTGGCTTACTGTAGGGGGTAAAGTCACACGCTTCAGACCACAGGAGAAAAAGATTACCAAACCCTGGCCTAGAGAATAGGGGATGGGATTGCGACACATGAAATCTGGGTTCAAATTCTGTTTGTAAGCTTGGGAAATTCAGGTAATCTCTTTGTGCCTGTTTCCAAGTTACTAAAATGGAAATGATGATAATGAGAGAGCACAATATAAAAGACAACAAACAGATTTATAACTGGTATAAACTCATAACTTCAATGACTCTGCTGATTTCCACTCACTTCAGTGGGACAATGCCAATTTAGACCGACGAAAGAATATGCCTTAATACTTACAAACATAACTAGAGGAAAAAGATGGAAGAACTAACACTGTACCTCACAGCCCTTGTTCTTGGTAGTCCACCAATGTAAATTGGGTCCTTATCTGAACGATTGAGGTCCGAGGCTACTCCAGGGGATTCTCCTTGCTTGGTTTCCTTAGAATTAAGGTTATACGCATCCATGACTGCCAATACTCCTGAAAGGAAGTGAAAGTAAAAATCAGTGAAGAAGAACACTGGAAAACAATTTTCTAACTTAGCAATATTTTTGTATGAAATAAATGTACAAAGATTCTCAAAGTCACATAAGGAGAGAGGGATAGTTACTTTACTCTCAAGACTTCCTCTCTTAAAGGGAGAATTTCTTTACTCTCAAGATTTCATATATTTTGATAAGCTGACTAGTTTCTCTATTAAAATATACTTTTGGAACACCCCAAAGGAAAAACCATATATATTAAAATACATTATTAAAACTTGTAAGACGGTAGTTCCTGTAAGCCCTGGTCCTGGACCCTAGTGTGGCTGGTACCCTATAAATACAGAAGAAAAAAAGATGTTGCCCACTGCAAAGAGCCAGGCAAAGGCATTGCAATAGTTAAATATGATTTCATTCTTTTTCCTTTCATGCGTTTTAACAGTTTCTACACTTTACATATTATAAAGGCGGGGAAAATCAAGGCCAAGATTAACTCATACATCAGAGTGATCATTTGCCAAGCAACAGACTGGCATTGCCATCACTTACAAAAAAAGGAAGCACTATGGCAATGGCTGCCAAAGAATGAATATGCATTGAGAGTAGCCAGACCTAGTTATATATTGACATTCCTAATTACTGCTTTAGACATTTCTATTTGTGAAAGCTTAAATATTTATTTTTTCTGCCTGACTCTTACCTTGTTTCTTGTTGCGGCTGAATGAAATTTTATACCATGTCCCATTATTGTAACGATTCTCTGTTGAAAGAGTAAGTGGTCCTGAACCAAGATCAACAGTCAGTCTCACTTTGCCATCAACAAGTTCCAGAGACAAGAAATCTCTCTGCAGAAAAACATACAGATGGACTGAATGAAAATATAAAACCCATAGTACATAAATATGTGGAAGAAGTGGGATATTTTTATTAAAAACTGCAGGTGATTAATATAGTCAGTACACCCAGTGCTCAGAACTGGTACTGTATGCTCAAATTACATAACGTCATTTAAAATGTTATGTTTATTATTCATAGCATTTCAAATGATCAATTGTTTCATGTTTTTGTACAAGCCAAGGTGTGAAAGAATCTGGACTCTACCAAGATGTTTCCACAGGAACTGAACAAGTCCCTTGCACAGATTGAGTCATAATCTAGGCCATAGTTGTGCTGTCACTAATTCCACTCACGAGTGACAGAGAATTTTTGGTGGATTAATTGTAATCGCAGAGGACGCATCAACACAAGACGTTTACTACAGAGTAGACTAATTAGCTCTGTGGTAAATGTCTTGGTATCTACACATTCAGGGCTATTGGGCTGGAGTAAACTAATAAACTCCGCACCAGGGTGGTACTTGTAAAAGTTCTCTATGGTGTAATACAGTGTGCTAATCAGTTCCCAGATGGATAAGCTGTAAATACAAGTACTACCCTGCTGCAGAGTTTTTTAATCCACAGCAGTGCACGTTTAATCCTGGCTGGCTGAGGCACAAGGGTGCTTTAATGCAGGTGCTCTGCACTCGTGCCCCAGCCAGCCCCACCACTGCATAATAAGCCAGGTTGGAGCAGGCCCAAACTGGCAGGCTGACCCCCAGGCTCCCTGCCAGCTGGGGCTGCTCCAACCCAGCTCAACGTGCTGTAGTCCCGGTACACATTCAAACACTGTGCCCAGGAGCAATATACTCTAGTGCAATAGGTGCCAGAGTTTATTGCTGCACCTCAATTGCACATGCAGTTCCACCCAGAATATAGCAATGGTTCAGGATGCTACCACTGTCTCTCCTCTCTGGGTTCCCTTGGTAGCTGGGTCAAAGTTCTCTATGCTGTAATACAGTGTGATAATCAGTTCCCAGATGGATGAGCTGAAAGATGGGGAAAATTATTTACTGACGCTGAATACTAATTTTGATTGGTATAAAATCAAGCCAATTTTCTTACAGTGCCATTAGAAGCAAGATATAGCAGGAGCCCATTAGGGGAGAAGGTGCTGAAAAACATTATTATTTGAGTCACGGTGGAGCGGAGCGCCTTCTCCACAACTGAATATCCACTGCCATCAAAATGGAATGAAGTGTCTTCATCCTGAGGGCTATGAAAAGGAAAAAAAAATAGTTGAAATACTAACTACAAATTTTTCATTTTTAAAAACACCTTTTTTACGTGAAACCTGTAAGAATCAGTTAAATGTAGCCAGGAACAACATAATTAGGAAGAGTGACTGTAGAAGACTTGAATCTTTTATATCATAAATAACTAAGGGAGCCCAGCCAAGGGCTACTTTCATTAGAGAAACTCACAATGTCTAATTTAGCTTTGGGGAAATGTTTTCACAAGAGAGAAAATTCTCAGTCATGCTTTATGAAAGAAAAACAGTTACATTTCTCAAGGGGAGGAGGCTGCCTCTTACCTTCAAACTTTAAAGAATGGCATGCATTTCCCCAAATTCCTTGCATAATTGCATTTTCAGTAATTGTTTTATTATCATTCCCCCCTGCAATGGAGTTTTTGGGTTTTTTTGTATAATCATGCAGCACCCTCTGCTGGTTCTGCAAAGGCTAAGTAAAAGCTTATTTCTTTTTAATCCTACTTAACTGAAAAAAGTACAGCTACTGAAAATATAATGTCTACTAGAAAATTTTCTAGTAGAAGAAAGGAATAAATATGCTTTGCATATTCCAAATATTCTAAAATACAGATGTATACTGAAACTAATTGCTTACAATGGACAAATAAACACCACATATGCAAAAATCTATAAAAGTCTGAGAACCACATGAAAACAGTGAAACCAGGTAATAAATGGGAAAGGTACACAATAAATAGATTTAACCGGCACTTCTGACACCATCTGATACCATTCTTCAAACTCTTCTAATAACCACTGAAGTGCCACAGTTTGCCCAAATTCATCATACACTTAATGAACACAGAAACATAAAATAATAAAATGATATTTGTATCCAAGTGCTCCCACAATAAATGTACATGTTTTTAAGAAAAGATAGAGAAAATATTACCTTCCAAAGCATCCATTGCATTTACCCTCCCTTTCAATGTAATTCCAAAGACCAATAGATTTGCCATTCAAGGATGCCTCTCCCATGCATCCTTTGAAATGAGTCACCTTAACCGCTGGTGATTTCTGAGAGAGAAGAAATACATTTGATGAATAAGATTAAGGTTAACTACTTTGGAATGTCTCCAGCCAAATGGTTTCTATTGTTATTGAGCTTTTAACTAATGTTAGGGATAAATCACTGTGGAAGAACAACAAAAGGTTTTAGCGTGATTATTTATAATTATAATTCACATCTTAATGGATGAGTTTTGCCATGAGTAAAAAACAATGTCCTTGACCCATTTACAATCATAACAAAAAGGATAACAAATACCAATTATACCAAATCATGGAGGAAGGAGAATGAGGGAAAACAGACCAACTAGAAATTATTAAAATGATCCAAGAACCCCTACCGCCTACACTCATATTAACACTGAGAATTTCCTGATTGTCACTTTAAACATCATTTCCCCAGTAGTTTTATAATGGGATGATAGCTCTGGATACCATTCTTCATCCTTGCTTTTTGCACAGCATGCCTGACATTTCTTGGTCAACTAACCAATCAGCATAATTATTTCTAAATCAGGACAAGTATTTACAACAGGAAAAAACAATGTTGTAGAATAACATTTTTAGACATAACCTTGATTTGCCCTCCAAGTCCACCAACAAACATCAGTGTTGATTTGTTTACATCCAGTACAGTAGCTGTCCCAGGAGAGGTTGCAGTTTTAGTTAAGGGCTTCTGAGTGGAGCTCACTTCCTCTACACTCAGTGTACCAGTTTTTCCAAACCTTAAAAATCACAAAACACTGTAGATTAAAATACTTTCAGAAGCTACCCTGATGGGTCACTACATACCAACAAACTCATTCTAAGCTAACAAATCAGCTGTCACTGAGAGACTCAAACAGAACAGGTTCATGCATTTTAAAGAGTAATTCACATTTAGTCCAATAAAGCTCTCATTTTAGCCTAGTAATATAATCATGCAGCACTGCACTTCCGTAATTTGCATGGAATCACATTTTTCATAGTAGGTAAAAATTCACATGATACTACTAGCAGAAATCAAACTTTCAATTTAACTTGTTTAGAAAATGAAATATCTGTTACCCACATTAAACCAGCATTACCTGGCTGCATGTATCCTGTGCCACTTGTTGTTGTCAATTTGAAAATCAGGATACTCCACTCTTGTTGATCCAGAGCCCATATCCCAAAGAAAGGCTACTCTACCACGCCGCATCTCCACTGCTATAAAGTCATTCTGGAAAATGATGGTTGTTGCTTTAGTGTATTATACATGGCAGATTCCTGTACTGTTTAATACGTTTCTTTCTGAGTATATCTTGCTAAAACCACGCCTGTATCCCAGGTTTTCAAACCTGACTTTGGGCCAAACCATTCTCTATGAAGGAAAAACTTATATTAAAGCTAACAAATTCTTCCACTAATATACTTACTTCTCTCCATTCTCCTTCTTTCCCTCCTCCAAAACACACAAATCCAGACATGATATGAACTCAAAAGGCCAATAAAGACATAACAGGAATACAGAGCACACAGGAATTATGTGGAAATGGGCAATCTGTACAACTACTAGGACCACAAGGGGTGGGAAGAAAAGCACAACTTTCAACTGTGCTGTCATATGAGACTACTGTCAGGTCTCAGCAGAGCTCCATTTCAAATGGGGGGGACATGTCTAGTGGACAGAGAAGCCTACAATAATGAACCCAAGATAAAATGTATTTCATATGAGCATTGCCTACACATAGGGTAGGGGCCTCATAGCTACCTCGGCTAAATGTTGCTTGTTCCTTTGTGGCAAAAGGGGCACCTCTCAGCAGGAGAACCCAGTATGCTCTGCAGATGCAAAATTAAGGCCCCCTCTAGATATGCAGTTAAAGGTGTGATGGGATCTAATGTGTCATCCACACAGTTGTACCTCCTCCCCTGCCTCCATGTGCACTACATCCCATTGTGCCTTATTGCTGGTACAGGGAGAGCCCTGGCAAGAAGCAAGCTCCCATGGCTGGAAGACCCCTCTGTTGAGGGGCTCCTAGTTGTGGGGGTGCCTATCCACACCCCTGGAGCTGAAGGATCACAGCTGCCATGATCCCCCAGCCTCAGGGGTATGTGAACCCCTGGGATTGGAGAATCCTGACAGCCATGGTTTCACACACCCTGGGGCAGTCACACCCCCCAGGTGCTGGACCCAGCTAGGTCCTGGCACCCAGCATCCATGGCTGCAGGACTCTGGGTCCCTGTGCTGCTAGGACCCAGAGTAGGCAGCTGCTGGGACTAAGAGTCCCTTCAGTTGTGGGATTCCCAGCCCCAGCTGGGCAAGGTACACCCCTGCAGGGAAGATCCTGCTACACATACAAACTAAAAGCTCGATAGCAACCAGTTATAAAAGTTAGTACATGTTTTCAAGGGCTAATTTTTGTAGCTGGTTGGAGCCTTTTATTACTTGAAAGGTACTTTGCTGTACCTTTCAAGTAATAAAAGCTGGTCTCAAGGTAATTGCACAATAAATCAGTTAATTGTGCGATACCTGTAATGTATAGAAGGGGCCTAAGAGTGTTATGTTAACTGAGCTTCCTGGGCAGGGGGCAGGACAGAAAAACCTGCTACTTTCCATCCTCCTCCCTGCAGGAGTGAGTGGTACAACCACTAGAACACAGCCCTGCTGTGATCTACAGCAGATAATTATTCCTTCTTTCACACACACCTGCCTGGTGGCTTGTCTGGTTAGTTGTTGTGCATATATGTATGGAGAGAGAAGCATGTCAGTGCATATTTAAAATACTTGATTTCCAACATCTTCATTGAATGTTACACAACTAGACTTACATTTCCATTGCTACCCATATAGAAAAGAAGGTTGTCAGGTTCTGTTGTTTTAACATTTAATGTTAAGGTGTTGTAGTTAGAGGATGAAATCTGAGGCTGGTAGGCACGAATACAACCTCTGTCTGCTGATACTGCAACTTTAATCTGGGGGAAAAAAGAAAGGGAAACAAAAATACTTGTTGCGTACGAAGCACAGAGTAGGTTAGACAAATGCAAGAGATTTGCTGAGAGAGCTTCATATGAGCTAAATATTCATTAATAAGGCTGATTATAAACACACACACTTCTGCATGCCTAGATGATGGTTGAAAAAGTGAAATTGCCTAGTATATAGTAGGTAAAAGGGTGCCTCATCATCTGATCGTCTAGTCGTAGTACTCAAAATTAAAGAAATCTATCATATAGCAAGAACTACGTTAGTCATTAATACATTAGTATATGAGGCCCATTTATTAAGAAAAACATTGTATTAATATAAAAAAAGTAGATTTTAAGGGTTGAGAAAATTCAAAGGATCTCCCTTTTCCTTCCTCCTCTCCCCACCTCCAAAAGAAACTAGTCTGGTGAGTATATTTAGACCCCCCCAAAAATCTAAAAATTAAAAGGCTACGCTTCTATTCCAATAAAAGGAATGCAACAAATCTAAATCACTAGCAACAAATCTAAATCACTAGCAATGTATTTACTAATTCGTTAGAAAATCCATTTAGGATCTATTTAAAAATAAGGTTAATTAAGAAGATATTCAAAGTACTGATTTCTGATTCGCATAATTTATTTCACTAATATTGGAGAGACAATGCTTCTAACATGTGTGCATGTTCATGACTTTTGTACTCACAGGGCATGTCTACATGTGATGCTATGTCACCGCAGCAATGTGATATGGTGATGTAGTGTCCATGGGCAAAAACTGTGATGCTCCTGCTACGTCACCGTAGCAACATGCTCTCTTGGTATAGTGCCTTGCTATGGTGATGCAACAGATAAAAATAGCAGTGCACTGCTGGCACAGCGCAGTACAGGCTGTTACTGTACCATCATGTAGTACTTCCTTTGGAAATACTACATGACGGTGCAGTAACAACAGCGCTGTAGGGGCACATGTAGATGCGCCCACATTGAATAACAGGATCTAGTCCATTAACAGTTCTATTAAATACCTCTTTGGGTGTGTCCACATGTCATCCTATAGCAATGTAGTGATGCATTACGGCAACGTAGTGATCCCATTGGCCTACATGTGATCGCCAGCTATGTCGCCCGAGCAATGCACTCCCCTGGTATAGGGGAAATCCCTTGGAAATTTAACTCTGCATCATGCACATAGCCTAGTAACCACTCGTACAGCGCTGTGCTTTAGTACTTCCAAAATTAAGTACTAAAGCACAGTGCCATAGCAACGGTGCCGTACTGTGACATGTAGATGTGCACTTTGTGTCGTAATGATAAATTGCCATGGTCTATAACACGGTTTAAATACTTTTCTTACTTAGAGCTTTCAACTTTCAAAATGACCAATTCATAGTTTTGAAATATTTTGTATAAGCTAGTTTTTCTTTTAAAAGTAGACATAATGGATTAGGTCAGATGTAAGGCAACCTGGTTGACAGAACCTATTGTTGTGGGATAATCCACTCAAAAAATCTCATAATAATTCCCATATTCTATACACATGTATTCTATCTTTCTCACATAACTTCTCCTCAAATAGGCTGGGAAATCACCTTGCTCCAAAAACAAAGTCACTTCCATTCAACCACTTGTCTGGTTCCCACACAAACATCTCTCCACTTATTGCCTGACACATGACACTATTGTTTTTAAGCGAAATTCTCCCTTACAAATAAAAGGCAATAGGGAGGAGAAAGGGAAGCTTAATGGCTCACTGCTCTCACAGGTCCACAGATACAAAAAGCTCAAGGCTAAAATTCCTAACTCCCACCAACTAGCTATATTTACAGCATCCATTACTTCACTTCAGTGTAGATTTGCTTGATATGAAAGAACAACAGGACAGCTTTAAAAGTGACATTTAAGGCCTTTTTTGTCTCTAAAATACTTGTTGTTGAAAGGGGAAGAAAACCAAGTCACCTCAAGCTAGGAGCTTCAGGGATGATGTACTTACAGATGCTGCCTGCTTGCGGGCCTGACTGATGAGTTCTTTTATTTCAGACAGATTTCTGCTCAGGTTCTCTTCTAGCCTTTTCAGCGGTTTCAGCCTATCAAATAAAAGATTGGCTTGTGCTTCTACTTCTTTAACTTGTTGTTCAGCTGAGGTTGCTGCCAAAATAAGAAGGAGATGCTGAGGCAGCCTGAGATGGAAATTTAGTATTCAATTCTGGAATATACTGACCAAGATGGTATATACTGGGCAATTTTAGAGTGTATAGTGGTTAAATATCAATGAAAATATATACACATAATAGTAGTACATTAATTTGATATATATATGAAAAGAAGTAAGTTCAACTGAAAGAAATTCCATATATATATGTGTTTTTAAAAGCCAATCTACAGTTAGTGAATTTTTATTTAATGCTTATTGAGGTCCAATATTAGCATTGCATGCAATGACATTTCTACAGTGCAATGAAGCAGCTAACTAACCGGCTTTTGATGAGTCCATTATAAGTTCACTGGTTTTCCGCAATGTGTCATTAACTCTGGACAATGCAGATGAAGTGTTCATCAGCTTCTGAGTAAAATCCACAATATAGCTTACACCAGTAACATCACTTTTGTTCGCAGCCATAGCCATCTCTTTTGCTTCAACAATTTTGTCATTGGTATCTGGAATATAAGTGATTCTATATATCCCAATGATTGCATATGCCATTTCTCCACTTTTTCAGAGATTTGTATGAGTAAAAGACCAAGGTCATAAAGAGTATTTAGGCTTTCCTAAAAAGTCACTCCTGGCAGTCTAATTTATACTGGCACAGTAACGTGTTCAAAACATTATAAAGATTGTAGCTGACAGAATGTCTGATAACACACATAACATTTTGCAGATTTGTTTTCTTCAAGTTAGGTGAAAAAAATATTTTCAGGCTGACATTTTCTCTGTAAAATAATGAGTCTTTAAATGAACCGTTAAAAAAAATCCAAAATAAAACTGGGACCAGATGCCTGATTATCTAGTGCATTTTGAGCCATTAAGGGTATGTTTATATTACCCCAGCATGGTGTCAGGGTATGCTACACTGATACACACCATTACAGCTCTATGAATGCTACCTTCCAAGCCAGAGTTAAGAAAGCTGCCTTATTGCTATGCCGTATATCTGCCAGTAAATTCTACCTCTCAAGAGCTTTCTGGCACGCAGTATATACATGTCAAGAGAATTCAAGTGAGCTGAGGTAGCTAAAGATTCTGAATTTAGATGTTTAAATATTTTTTCTTCAAAACTTGAACTTCAGCAAACAATTACACCAAATGGCTTGTTTCTTGACCAGCTCTCACCAGGATATAAGCACAGATAAAACTAGATTTGAGTCTGTTCATCTGACACTTTTGAAAAAGAGGTCATTCTGTACAATCCAAGACACTGATTTTTAGGGGCAATCTAGAAAATAACTGTTAAGGTCAAGATACCAAACACATGACTTTTTAAAAATACTGGCCAGTTCCTGCTCTTACATACTTCTGGCAGAAGTGGCAGATTATGGCAATCACAGAGAGGCAGTTCCTGCTCTTAGATCCTTGGCCTCTGGGAAGAAGTTAGAGAAGCATGGTACTTACTCCATCTTCTGCCTCTGGCTCACATGACTTACATCAGGGGCAGATCAGACAGAGCAGATCTTGGCTTCACCATACCCAACCCCCAGCCTGCCCCTTTTCTGCCAGGATTGAAGGCATCTGTTATAAAAGTTAGCTGGATTTCTGGAATCAGCTTTGGTTATGAAGGGATTTCCCCTACACAGGTCACTTGCTGCCTCCTTAAGAAAGAAGCAACACAAAGTAACTCACTACCAAAGCTATATTCAAACAAGGAAGCTTATTTCATGCCATAAGTGAAGCCTTGACTTTGAATTACTAGCTTTATGTCAGTTAGCAACATAGCCTTAATTTTTCCATTAAAGTTACACTTCTGTGCGACTTAAGATCTGGCATTGTAAAAAAGGATGTTTTTAAACTTGGACATCTGTGAAACAGAACTGTTCTAATCTGGACATACAGTGAATCCTTCAATTCCTACAATGAAGAAACATTAGATGTAATGTATTACAGCTTCTCTTTTCCACTCTCTTCATATTAGTGTCTGCAATATTCAGGCCTGGTTTGTTTGAAATACTAACCTTTCTTAAAAAATAAATCCTATATGGCTTTTGAACAATAAGAGATGTGTAGTGAGACAGATTTCACTTACCATTAGGTAGTGCTCTCAGTGCTGTCACTGAAACTTTAAGCTGCTTAGCAATCTTATGAGAACCCTCCCGAACCTTTTGTACCTTTTTCCTCAATCCATTCAATCCAGACACAAGGCCTGTTGGAAGAAACAGCTGTGTTCTTTTCTATACGTGTACAAATGCAAAATACCTTGCAGCCCATACTAAATCAAAATCTTTAAAATAGTTCTTAAAAATAGTAAGATTAAGGTGCAAACAATTCAGAAATGAATCAAATGGAAGGTTTTTGGGTTTTTTAAAATCACATTAGGTATTTTAGTGAATACATACAAGTTTAAAATGAGTATAGTTATCGCTTCTCGGCCTCTTGAAGGCTCAGGTCATGTGCTGTAAATTTTCTGGGGCCTACAAGTTCAAGTACTTTATCACAAGTCCAGAACAAAATTGTTGTTCTTGGTTAAAGCAACTGGGTCAAAATGATGCATATATGATTAGGAAAAGGAAAGCAAATGAAATCATATTTGATTTCCATCATTATGTTAGGCTTTTAGAAATAAGATAACTTCTTATGATTCTGATATGATCCATCTAGGGATATTTTTACTGGCAATAAAAAATATGCATTCACTGACCAGTGAGATTATGCAGCCATATGCATATTTTCAAAAAATTTTTAGAGACAAAATGCAGCTTCTTATTACAACTTGATCTCAGTACAGTATCCACTCAGGAAGCGTCTACATGGTGCCCTATGGTGATGTAGCAACGTGCTATGTTGCCATAAGGCATGCTATGGCGATGTAGCAATCACGTGGGTCTACACACGATCACCAGCTACACAGCCATATTAGCGCACTCCCCCAGTATAGTGCACTACTACAGTGACACAGCAATGAAATCTACCTAGGCGCCACATGCACGACACAGCAACCACCCATACTGCATCGTGCTTTAGTACTTCCAAAAGGTGGTACTAAAGCACAATACCATAGCAATGTCATCATATGGCACCATGCAGGTGTACCCTCACTGTATGATCGATGCAAAACATCTTCCTTTATGGCAAGATTCTGTTCCAGCTGAAGTCAATGATAAAACTCCTACTGATGTCAGTGGTGCAGATCCAAAATCTTCTGAAACTTTTCAGAGTAATAAAAACTTGAAAGGATTTAGAAATGTATAGATAGGATGGTGAGCTAAAAGGCATTTTATACAAGCACTGAGTACATGTTCAGCTTGTTACTATATATTTCACCTGAGCTTAGACAGTAAGAAAAATATTAGATACCCATGTGGTCATTAGGCCTAATTCATCACTGGCTCTGAGGTAAACGGACTGTGCAAGAATTAATCTATCTTTATTGGCCCTTGCATCCGCTCTAATGACTAAATTCACTGCATTTGGAGAAATAATCGGTAAGGAATAATCAGTTATGTTCTAGAAGTATGTTTTGGAAAAAGAAGAGACACAGAACAGAGGTTTCCTTTTAATATTCACAAAGGAAAATTATGTTCCGTATTTGACATTACAACAACACTTATCCATGATGCATTGGTTTATTCTTCTTATTTATGTCTCTTCCCCATTAAATTTACATTCACTGCATATTGAACATATAGATAACAGTGGATAGCTATGAAAATACTGTGAAAAATGTACATTCTATGCAACTTACCATCATTTTTCCTCTTCAGATTTTTTGCTTCATTTAGAAATTTCAAACTAAGCAGTAGGGTGTCTTTCCCAAGAGAATCAAAAGATTCGCCTGGCTGAAAAAACAAACAATGCTTGCCAAATATGAAAAAAATAAGTTCAACTGCAAGAAATTCTACCAATCCTCAAATGGTATTGATTTCATGTATATTCTGATTATTATGATCTTTTCAACATATTAGTTTGCTAAGCATGAATTCACTAACTTTGGGACATTAACGTTTTTCAGTATAACAAAAGTAAATAAACAATAGTGAATCTTGGTATGACCTGATGGAATAGAAACTAGGAATGATAAACTATTACATTTAAACTCAGGTGCTGATTCACAGTTTTACCTCAGGAAAGTCGGTAATGACAAAATTATGAAAACTGGGTACTTAAAGATAGGGACTCATATTAAAAAATGTGGGCTTTAAGCTTTCTTTGAACCACTTTCCCCATATGTAAAGTGGAACTTACTAGTAGAAAAGCATTTTGCAAGTATGCTAATTAGTTTGAACATAACTTTGAGCATACAGGGTGGATCTACACATGCTATTAAGGTGATGGAATAAACTCTGGCACAGTTTGCGCCAGAGTTAACTGCTCCTGGGCAGGTTCATACTTTGAGCCAGGGCGGAGCAGCCCCAGACTGGAAGCAGGCTTGGGGGTCAGCCCTGAGATTCAGGTGGCAGCAGAGGGCGGCCAGGAGATGGCTGGGGCACAAGGGTGCCCAAAGTGCAGAGCCACGTGGCGAGGCGGTGCGTAGGGGTCTGGCCCCCTGCTGTCTGAGCTGACTGGATGCAATTTACGCCCAGGTCAGCATTACACATGCATTTGACCATAAGATACTACTGTCCCTAACCGTACTCTCCTATGGCACAGTTAATTTACTGCACTCTAATTCTGGCATTTGTGTAGACAATGACACTTTACTACAGAGCTAATTAGTCAACTCTGCAGTAAAGCACATTTGTAGATGCACCCACAGAGTGCTAGATATGTGATACGACTTTTTGTACTAGCTCATGAAACAATTAAAAAAAATTTTTTCTAGTAGTACCCACAATGTGCTAGGTACTGCTCAAACTTGAAAAAGAAGAAAGGGTATAATGTAAAGCAAAATGTCTAAGTTGGTAATCTTGGTAATAGAAGACTAAGACTGGCCCAATGTCCTGAAGGTAGCAAGACTAAAGGATGACTAAATAAATATGTAGTTAATGAAATATATATGATTCTGGAACATTTTCAACACATAAAGCAATGTGGAAGAGGTAAAGAAAGTCTGTGCTAGGAGTGAGCTCAGTGTAGGTGTTAAGTGGGATAGATTTTGTAGGAACAAAGATATCAGGGTTAAATAGACCAATAGAGAATACACACACACACACACACACACACACACACACACACACACACGTATGTGTTTGTATGTATATAACTGAAATGAAGGAAAAAGCATATTGTTTAGAAAAGACTGAGAGGCAGCTAAGTGATGGGTACGTAAGGATTGGAGACCTCAGAATGGCCTACAGCAATGCTGCCCAACCATTTCACCCTGCAGGGTGGTGCTGGTTTGTCGGTGGCCTGGATCCAGCCAGCAGGCTTGATCTAGAGCACAAGATAGGTGCAGTAGGGGCCAGACCTGGACCATTGGGGGTTGGGGTAGCACAGCTCCAACCTGTCCATGCACGGGGAAGGGGCATGGCCTGGTTCTGACCCAGCCATGCAGGGGAGGGGAGTGTGGCCCAGCCTCGACCCAGGTGCATGGGGTTTGGGAATTTGGTGGCAGGGTAGGGGTAGTGGTATTAATTGCCATTGCTTCCCGACCACTAAATTCCCTGATGCATGGGGAGCATCATGGACTAGATGCAATGGCTCCACAGGTCAGATTTGGCCTGTGAACCAGAGGCTGAGCACCCCTATCCAGGTGGAATGGGAGAAGTGGATGATGTTAAATGAAATAAGCTAATGTTTGGAGATAAGAAGTAGAGTATAATAAAGATATGCTCGTGTTGTTGGCTACTTTGAGTGGGGAGGTGATCCAGGGATGGAGGTCAAACAAGGAGGTGAAGAGAAAAATCAGTGTCAAAGGGAGTGTCAAAAATGAAGCTACATTCATAAAAAAGTGAGGGTGGAAGGCTGTGATGAGGAGAAAGAAAATCTGATAATCAAAGTCCAGCAGGAAGGTGACTCAGATGATGGATACATGAAAGAAAAGAATTACCCAAGGGAGTATTTTTCAGAAGTGGAAACGAAGTGGGAAAGATGTTCAGGGAGAATAGAAAGCAACAGGTGGTATCAAAGAACATGATACTGCCACCATTGTCCTTTGGGATTAAGTCAGGACAGGAATCACGAAAGGAGGCAAGAGTGGATTCAGCAGATGTCTGACAAGGAGACTCAGATAGTAGAGTACAGAATGATGGAAAAGCATATGAGCAGGCATTCATAGAAGAGCCGGATATGGGAGGAACCTACGACTTAAACATGAACACTTACCAGGTCCAAGGGGTCAATTATAATTCGAGAAGCATCATCTGCTAGACTCTCTGTACTTTCAATCAAACTTTTAATGTTGGGGTGGGCATAGATAGTATTGGTTGCATTCAAAGATACATTTCTTACATTTGAAAGGCCACTGTGGAAGAAAAAAAAATATACATCTATTTATATAAATATCTGCAATTGATGGGTATATAAAAAGTCATACAACATTGTATCCACTGATCATACATTAATTTAAACAGTAATGTGCTAGTTGTTTTAGAAATGGTCATTCATGTGAACAGAAAGACATTAATCAACCCTTTCTACATCTCTAAAATAAAAATACCACTTACTTACATTAAAAGTAAAAGCAACTAAATTTACTGTAGTTTGAAAAGAAGAGAAAAAATGATCTGCTCTCTTAGCAGCTTAATGTATTATTTATCTTAACTACATCTGGCAGTAATGTAGATGAAGCCTCTATTGAGTTCATAAATCTTGATGCTTTTACCTGTCTAAAACGTCTGCAAGTCTTTGAAGTTCAGCTGCATGATCCTCTGCTCTGTAGACTAGGTCAAGCATTCTTCTCATGGACATCTGCATAACCAGGTCATCCACATGATGCCGCAATTTCGCATTCCAGAGAACCAGCCCATCTCGTTGGAAATCTAGATTCTTAGTAGTAGCATTATTTACTTTTTTAAAGAATCAAATGAAACAGACAACAGACTACACAAAATTAATATTAGCATGTTTAGAAACTTACCGATGTAGAGTTCTTTACATCTGTGGCAAGACGTGCAGCAACATCCACCAATGCCTTCCCTTCCTTAACTAGCATGATGAAAAGGTCATTTTCCTCATTTATGTTTAGCTTTTCATTCTGTAACATAAATCAATTGCTTTGTGAAAAGCTGTAGAATGAGCTAGTGCAGAAGTCAAATACTGTCTAACCTTTTCTATTATCAACATTTCATAGATTCTACATAGGCTTTTTTGGATATTAAAAATATTAGCTTTAAAATCTAAAGAAGAATTTAAGTCTCTAAAGTGAACTATTTAAAACAAAATATTTATTTGATACTTTTGTATTTGACAATGTGGAACCTCCAATCTTACATTTAATTCTGCCAGGTTACTATAGATAAGGGGAAGCAGACGGTTCGTCTCATTTGTGTTAGCATGAGCCTCATTCACCAAGTCCTGGGCTTCCTGTAGTCTGCTCATGTGGTTTGATAAGAGATCACTTGTATCTTTTTTCAGTTCTGCAAATTCTTGCTGGGGTCTGTGATACTCTTTCTGAACCCGTAGCAACAACCTTTCTGCAGCTCTAATAAAGAGAGAAAGAGGATAGTCAATAAATGTAGGTGGGTGTGAGAATTGAAAACAGAGGATTATCCAAGCTAAATGCTGACTTTTATATAAACTTACACAAGTTTGTTCACGAACCAGAAACACACATCCAGCTATAAAATTTGCTTGTACCAACAGAAAACTAGATATTGCTGGTTTATGTTTGTGACGAGCTTTGTGGCTTGTTAGCTTTGCCCATGACCTCAGTTAGAGGGAAAATGGACTCTCTACATATTCTTAATAAAAATATGCAATCTCTCAGTACAATAGTTACTAGAAGAGAGAAAAATCCTGTACCTATCCTTAAAAATGGTTTTATATGTAATCCTAGAATTACTGCCAAAGAATTACCTAACCTTTATTTATCTATTTATTTACCTTTATTACCTATATTTTTTCATGATGGTTATTTTTGCACCTTCCAGCAAAATATTTAGTCCTGGCTATTTTCAAAGACAGGATGCTGAACTCAGGTTTCTAAGGATCTGACCCTTCACGGAACTCCTATGTTCCACCAATATATAACATGCACACTACAGGCCCTGAAGTGCCACTTCTACATAAATAATTCTGATTTTTCCTTTAATCTGCTTTTTTTATGTCTTCAGCTACAGCAAAGTATGTTTCATTTATAGAGTTATCACAAACTACAAAGCACATTTCATCTCACCTACTAAATACCAGCTATGTATTTGCATTTATATTTTTAAAATATTGATCTATAGTTCTTAACATCAGGAACTGTAGTTCTACTTCACAATAAAAAACAGAAGGTGCTAGTATGAATATATTTTACAAGGCGGCATCCCCTAAACTATAGCAGAAAGGTTACTCTCTAAATTGATGGGGAACTTTGTCTTCTGAAGTAAATGTAGAAAGACCTAAGTTATAAATACTGTTTAATGGTATATCATCGAAAAGGCAATTCACTGTGATCCATGAGGTAACTATCTGCTCCCTGACAAATGCACTGTCAAGCTGCTTATTTAAATCAGTTTTGAATTTGCAGCTGCATAGCAAGATAAATTCTGCAGAGCAAACTCTTACAGTACTGGCATAAATCTTATTAACTCTCTTCTTCAATCTGTCAAAGGACAGTTATCAGAGAACTTTCAGAAATTTCTGCTGTGAGCCAGTAATTGAAAAAGTTAATTGAGAAATGCCCTGTATAACAGTCCAGGCTACTGTGAAAGTCAGAACATTCTGTTACTATGTGATGGAGTGATTGGAGGTGCTTTTATATGCTAAGTCATTCATTATTATGAGAATAACTAGTTTGCATTTTAGTTCATTTTCATGTCTTTTTTTTTTAAAAATTACTAGACAAGACAAGAGCAAGCATGAGAGATTGGTGAGCAAAGTGAAGCATGCTTGCTACCCAACTCTACTTTGGGATCACATTAATATATGAAAATAAAATTATTCAATTTATCTGACACATTTAAGCAAACACTGGGCATATCTACACGTGCAATTAATGCATCTGAATTTTCTGCGCAGAAAATTCAGGCTCATTAAAGCACTCCCTGGGACATGTCTACATGTGTGCCCCCATTGGGAACAAACTGAACTCGACAGGATCAGCCCAGTCCAGGGCTCTGTCCTGCTCTGTCCCGCTGCTCTGTCCCGCTGTAGCAGCCAGGGGGAGCTCTGTGGGGGAGGAGGAGGGAAGTTGTTCTGGCTGGGCAGGCAGCTGCCTCCCAACCATGTGGAGATCGCCTTAATAATACGTGTCCTTATCTCCAAATGGCTAGAAGGCAGCTGCCTAGCAGCCAGGACAGCTCTCCAAGCCATGTGGAGGATTGGGACCCAATCTCCGTGTGGCTGGCAGGCAGCGTCCCACTGAGCCAAGAGAGCTCCCCCTGCCCCCTGTGGCTCCCTGCTGCCTAGGTTGACCAGGACCAATTTGCTCCCAGTTAGCATCTACATGTGCAGTACAGCACACCAGTTAGTGCACTGTTTTTCTAGTGCCTGCATCTACAGGTACTATTAGTACCTGTGTCTACAGGTACTAACTAGAAAATGGTGTATTAGACTAATATATTGCACAGTAATTGCTTGATTTTGATTCTCCAAAGCATTTGGCATCAGTCTAAATCTGAAGTCAACAATAAAATTCTTATGGATTTCAGTGAAACTAGAGGTAGGGAAATGAACATTTTAAAAATCCCACCAAAATTCTGTAAAAGAGGCAGTATTTAGGTTTCCCAGTTCTGGCAACTAATAATTTTAAAGTATTATTATTATTACTACTACTACTACTATGACTATCAATAATAATAATAGCCGTAATAATACTAAGAATAATGCGTGGTGTCATACATACCATCTCTGCTCCTGTCTTTACCATCAGTCCCTCAAAAACTAGTGATACGTGTATGTAGGGACAAATACCGGTGAATCTTAGCATCACAGTGAGTAGGGTTTATAAAATCCTTACATGTGTTTCAAACAGTCTACCCTACAGTTCCAGCACAGCACAACCAACATGTTTTCTTTCCATATACTGTTACAAAACTGAGATATTTTCCAGGTATATAACAGCAATGAGATAATACTTACTTCAGTACAGCATTGGCATTTTGGTGCTGCTCCCTGAAATGCCTTTTATGCATTGTTTCCAGCAGGGTAGAGATATTCTCCAGCAAACTCTGAGTTGTGCTGTTTGACAGCTGGAAATCCAGACCCAATGTCTCATTTAATGATGTAGCCACTTCAGCAAGGACTAAGTGAGAATGAAACAATTCATTCAAGTCATTAGGAAAAAGATGGAGTAAGTTTGAATCCCTTTCACAAATTTAGCATAGATATCCTCCCTTTGGAAACAATTGTCTCAGATTTACAAAAGGTGTATGAGTGGCCATAGTTTAAAATCAGGCACATTACCTTTGATGGTTGTATACACTGTCTCAATAGATACAGTCAATTCCTGACTCCTGTTCATGTTTCTTTGAGTGCTGCTGTTGAGTTGCCAGCCCCTCTCCAACATTCTAGTCAACTAGCATAAAAACAAATTAATGTTTTTATGATAACATTTCAAGACTTGTGGTTTTCTTCTGAATTTTTTACTGAATAAAAAACGTTTCTAAGGTTTTCAGTGAATTGTATGGGGACAAAAAACAAATAACGCTTCCTGACAAATAAGGTCAAGTTTAAGTGGATTTCAGATGCTGGCCAACCAACTGAGATGAGATGCCTGCAGGTGGATTAGTAATTGTGCGCCTTGCATCCTTCAATATCAGTGAGACATTGCTCTCTAAATTACAAGAGATATTGCCACCCCGAAATAATTACTTTGAAGAAGAGAAGATGAAATTAAAATATTTTAAAATAAAGTCATTTTCCAGATATGGCACCTCATGTAATAATAGCAACATCTGTATCCTTGAAGATGCTGATTTATGTTAGAAATGTAGAAGAGCACAAGCAGTCAATAAATGATATGGCAGATCTCTAGTACATAACACTGCTATCCCCATTTATTACTTCCCTGGTGGGGCATGGGGGGTAGGGGAAGCGGGGGG